AGAAAACTATTCATCTGTGAATCCTGAAAAATAAAATGCATCACAGTTTCCACAAAAATATTGTGCAGCACGACTGTTTTCAACATTGATAATAATCAGAAATGTTTGTTGAGCAGCAAATCAGCATATTAGAATGATTTCTGAAGATCATGTGACACTGAAGACTGGAGTAATGATGCTGAAAATACAGCTGCGCATCACAGAAATACATTACAGTTTAACAGATATTCACACAGAAAACAGCTGTTTTAAATTATAATAATATTTAACATTTTTACTGTATTTCAAATTGAATGGAATTGCAAGCTTGTGAATCAAAATCTCAATCTCAACCCTGCAACCAAACCACATTGGACCCCATTGGCTTTCATTATATGGACAGTGAACAGTTTTCTTCTTTTGTGTTACGCAGAAGAAGCCCAGTCAGGCTCGGACGCCACGAGGAGAAGAAATGAAGACGGACTGCTGATTTTTGTCATTATTCTGAGATGTGGGTACCTGTGTCTGGACTGAAGCAGGGCTCCGGCTCCGGCTCCTGCCACTGCCATCCAGCGCAGGCCGACTGCTTTCTCTTGACCAGGAACGAGCGAGGCATCTTCAGACCGGCTTGGCTCTGCTTTACGGCTCAGTGTCTAGAGAGTCAATCTGAGAGCGGATGATTTCCATATCTCTGGAGAGAGGAGGACACACCTGTGCTTTAACTGCTGCTCCGCTGGTTTGCATGGCAGGTAGAGAGAATCTGGTCTCCTCATTTAACTGGACCTGCCATGCAAATGGTCCTCTGGCGGCGCGGGGCTGAAGGGCACAGCATTCACAGCCGCACTGCTAGGAAAATGTTGCTTTTATTTCACGTTCCAGTTGATTGTCTGTCGGGTTTATGTCACCTAAACTGGGACAAAGGCAATTCAAATCTCCTGCTGTACTGTTGACTATCTGTTAACCTCCCGGTCGAAGGCTTGAATGGCTTTCTCTATAGTCCTAACAGGTGTGCTTTTCTTCTTCAGCTTCGCCATCAGTTATCTGTCAGTCTAACTGCATCCCGTGCTTTTTGCGTTTGTGACAAAAACAGTGCAAATAAGCTGCTGGATAGAGTCGGGACCACGTTTATAACAGGGTTATACTAACATGGACATGAACTAAAATATCAAAATTTCTGCAACTGAAACTGAAATGAAGTTATACTATATAGACATTTAAAAACGAACTGAAATTAGTTTAAGTTGAAGCACTAAACTAGAAAATAAAAGGTGAGATAAAAAAATAGTACACAAAAACTAACTGAAAATATTAGGTATTAAAACAAATAGTATTAAATAATAATTATTATCATTTATTTATTTACATTTATTTAATCTGGCAACATTTCTCATTTTCGTTTAGTTTAACTTGATGAACTAAAATGACAAAAAAAAATAGAAAATATATAGACATCTTAAAAAACTAACTGAAAGTTTAAGTTGAAGCACTAAAATTACTAACTGAAAATAAATTAAATCTAAAAAAAACTAAAATAGTAATATTAAAAATAAATCACTGACATTAAAATGAAAATGGAAAAAATGTAAAATTAAATATTTAAATAAATGCAATATTTAAAATAAAACTGCATTGCAGCGGGTTGTGAACAGCAGATAAAGCCTTGTTGTGCGTCATTGTGCCATTATGCAAACTGGAGAGAAGTGTGATTTATGCAGAAGGCTGATGCAATGAACTCAGAGAATCTGTATGACTAGCACAAATATATAATGCACTGAGTTCATCTGCTCATGCATCAGTGTTTTCATGATGTTTGATGTTCAGCTGCTGAAGGACGCACAGGTACACTAGATACCGTCATCCACACACTCGCTGTAACTGTATGCAAATGTGTTCAGAGAGAGAGAGAGAGAGGGAGAGAGAGAGAGAGAGAGAGAGAGGGAGAGAGAGAGAGAGAGAGAGAGAGAGAGAGAGAGAGAGAGAGAGAGAGAGAGAGAGAGAGAGAGTCCAGCTGCAATTGCTTTGGCAATACAAATGTATAATTTTTGTCATGCCAATAAAGCACTCTTAAATTGAAATTGAAAATTGAGAGAGACTCAGAGAGAGAGAGAGAGAGCGGCTGAGCTTTCTGTGAGCAGCAGCTCGAGCTGTGAGGCGAACCGTATAAAGCTGACATTTGACACACTTCAAACAGTCCCCACCGCGACTACACACTCATTTGCATGTTCCTTTGAGCGCTGGCCTGCTCAGACATGAAGAAGGGCACTGCGTTTGACTGGTAAATGTCTCTGTTTGTCATGTGAACCACACCCGCTGGACACAAACAGACCTTCACGCTCTTCACATCAGCACGACTGTCTCTTTAAATGCGTGTTTCATGTCTCCAGTGTTTTGGCAATGTCAAGAGTTTTTACAATGCAAATAAACCACTTGCATCTGAATCTGATTTTGAGGAATATATGGCAGATTTGTGTAAATTGGGTCACTTTCTGACTTTGCAGTCATATTTTACGTCACACTGATTGCTTTAGTTATTTTACTATCAGGATATCATTTGGACAGGGTTCATTTTAAGGTTAAACTGAGCCAAACCTTTAGATTTTTCCTGCCACAACACATGATCAGCGTGTCTTGATTTAGATCAAAACATCTGACAAATGCATAAATGTAAAGCTTTAGGGGAAGTTCACCTAAAAACTATTTACTTGCCCTCTTGTTCCAACCCTGTATGAGTTTCCTTCTTCTGTTGAAGATCATTTGAAGAAGCTGATGGTAGCCATTATCTTCCATAGTATAGAAAATGAAAGCTACCATCAACGCATTATTCAAAATATCTTTTGTGTTCACCCGAAGAAACAAACTCATACAGGTTCCTACATGATGACAGGCATTTCATTTTTGCATGATTTCCTGCCACAACACATGATCAGCGTGTCTTGATTTAGATCAAAACATCTGACAAATGCATAAATGTAAAGCTTTAGGGGAAGTTCACCTAAAAACTATTTACTTGTCCTCTTGTTCCAACCCTGTATGAGTTTCCTTCTTCTGTTGAAGATCATTTGAAGAAGCTGATGGTAGCCATTGACTTCCATAGTATAGAAAATGAAAGTCAATGGCTACCATCAACGCATTATTCAAAATATCTTTTGTGTTCACCCGAAGAAACAAACTCATACAGGTTCCTACATGATGACAGGCATTTCATTTTTGGATGAACTATCCCTTTATGTTTTTTTTTTGTTAATGCACAGTCAAAAATGAAAACCATGAAAACTGTTCATTAAAGAGAGCCACATTCATTCTAACGCTTTTATAATAGCATCGCACTGACTACAGTTCAGTCTGTTCAGGTCAGTGCTGTGACGTCACCGTATGCAAAGCAGCCGAGCAGAAGACACGCCCACATCTGTTCTCCACCTGCAGCGCTTACAGTAATGCAACCCTTCACTGCTGCTTTCTCCAGACACAGACATGTTTTATGTCTATACAAATAAATCAATCCACATTCTAGACTTTACCTGTAGGCTACTTTATTTTGACCGGTTTGTGTTTGATTATATGTGTATGTGTGGATCATTTCACTGTGCAAATGACTAACAACTTGATTTCACTTGACTAGTTGCTTTTGTTAAATTTGAAGCAGAATAAATGTAATAATCATGTAAAGGCTAGAAAGTGTTTTATTTAGTTAGTTTGTGTGGCTGCTGTAAATAAGAGAAACTATGTGTGTTTGATAATATTTTAAAATAAAATGATAAAGTTTGCACTATCAAGCAGCATAACAAACTGTGTGGATACTGTTATTGAAAAGAGCTGGCACGTGTTTAGTTTATTTAATATTGTATGTATATTTTCAGTGTCTTGTATTGTATTATAAATGCTGGATATCAACAAGTGTTTTCGCAGATCAGCTTATCTGTTCAATAACTAACATATTAATAACTAAAACATCCACAAGAGGCCAGCAAAGAGCTGGAGTCAATCATCTCTCAGTTCATATCTGCTTATTTGAAGACTAATAGAGATAGATGCATGTATTGATCACTGGTTGTCAATCCTCAGGGAAAGTTTTTTTTACTTCTAATGTTCTCAAAACGTTAGCACATAAACTTTAATTATGCATCGTTAAGGGAACGTTTTATTTCTGAAACATTTTAGCTGTTTAGCTCAAATAATGTTTTTGAAATGTTGCTACTTTCAGAACGTTCAGCGAACATTCAAAAGTAACATTCCCATATGTTTTGCAAAATGATACAATGGAACGTTCCCTTAAAACTTGTTTTCCCCCTTAAAAATTAGACGTTTTAATGTTTTCATAACTTAATGGGAACATCAGCAAAGTGTTCGTAGAACATGTGCTGTCTGGGCTGGATCTGACGGACTCATAACTGCTCATTAATGTCTCTCTCTGACCTCACTTCTGCTGTTTATTATTAAGCTGATATTGTCAGGTGTGTGTGTGTGTGAGAGTGTGTGTGTGTGTGTGTGTGTG